AGATCTGCTGTTAATTCAGCAATTTTACCCAAGTGTGGGATCAATAAAGTTCTCATTTTGTGGTTACATAGTGAAGCGGTTATCACGCCTACTGTACACGCAAAAGGTCCTAGGTTCAAGCCCTGGAGGAGCCACATACACACATAGCGCCTGTGTAGGTTGAAAACACACGTTAGATTTCTCCGTTATGGGACAAACAAGGGAGCTCCATCTAAATAAACGGAGACATTAAAAATGTGGAGCTGTGATTGTAGTATATTAAAGTGAAACAGAACCGACCATTAATTACTGATCGTATCGCATCTGTTTGTGATCAGGGTTGCATTTAGAGCTGCAAGTCTGTTGACAAGGATGGAAAGCAGAACATTTAAAATTGAGTCTGAGACAGATTTCTGAGGAGGAAACAAACAAACAACACATTTAAGGGTTCAGTCTCACATCTGTCAAGGTAAACACAGGGAGATTATGGTAAACAAGAAGCAAAAACAAATGCACTGCAGCGTGTTTTCAGCAGCTCTATGAAACAAAGCTGTTTCTCAGACGCTTTGCTTCTTAATATAAGACCATCTGTTTGCCTGAGGCATGAATGTAAAGTGACCCTGGTCTGAGGGGTGAATTTTAAAACCCACTACTGTGGAGCTTGGTCGGATTTGCCAAAGGAAGCCTGACATGTGGTGTGTTGTCTTTGTGATCCGCTTCAAGTCTTTTTGTTTTGATGCAGTGCTGTTGGGAGTCCATAGGGGGCATACATACAGTATGTAGGTGATGAGGACTATGTTAGGAAAATGTACTCCTGAAGGGGCAAATACAGAGGCAATACAGAGGCAAATCAGTGTAGTAAGTAAGAAACAAAACAATAAATTTTTTTTTTCTCTTCAATCAGTCAAAACCAATTAGTTATTTGTACAGTTTTTTTTATTCCATCAATCTATCGAGTCCTATCACTTCATTTTACCTTTTCTCTCCGTCACTGTTCATGGTCCAGATGGTGTCAATTTTGTCGTCACTGTTCATGGTCCAGATGGTGTCTGGTGTTTGATTTGGTGGAAAACAGACGAAGCATGAAGGAAATTGTACATGAGGAAACAAGAGTCTGACAAGAAACGATGTAGTCTGTCGTCAAGGTCATCCGACACCAGCGCTCCTATTGGATGGTTGTGTCAAGCTTTAAAATCCATCCCTCTACATAATTAATCAGATTGTAGTTTACCGGCTGATTTCACCTTCTATTGAGAGAGACCAAAAAGTAGGGACAGAAATGATAACAGAAGCAATAAAAAAAAATCACTTGAATTTTGTAATTCTGTTTGGACGTTTCTTCCAAAAACACTTCTGGTCTTCTTGGTGGTCTTCATTTGGCCCCTGTGCTGTAACCTGATAGGCCTCTCTGCTTCTTATACACAGCCTGTCTCTGCTGAACTGTTGATTAGGTTGATGATGTCATCACACTGCATACAGTGTATACCAGTGGCAGGAATGACTCACGTGTGGATGTAGTTGATATACAGTACGTGACTGAAATGACACAGATCTGCTCAGTATATAATCAACAGAAACCTTTGAAATTAGATCTGCGTCACATCAGTGTAAATGAATGACATGAGTCACTTTGGTCCTTGTAATTTCAACATGGACACGGTGCTTTTCTGGGAAAAGAGAAATGTTGTCTGAGTCACCAGCTTTGGGAACAAGTCGAAAACACAATCCTAGACGTCTGAGTGTGAATGTTGAGGCATGGATCCACCCTGATTGGTCCATACATCAAAATTCACCCCACGGATGAATCTAAACAGATATTTCCGCCTCGCTCTGCCTCGCTCTGCCTCGTCCACAGCGACTCAGTTGTTGCTGCTGTGGGTGAAAAAAAGGTTAATTCATTTACAACAGTTTGTCAGAGCAATTATAACAGATATTATGAGTCCAAAACACAATATGCAGGGTTTTCTCAATCACTTTACCATTTGTTTTTAATATAGAACACGAGTCAAACTCAAGGCCCGGGGGCCAAATGCAGCCCGCCATGTCATTTTGTATGGCCCACAGGAGCTTAAAAAAGCATTTTAGAAAGTTTCTTAACCTGATAAAAAAGCATTTTAAAAAGTTTCTTAACCCGATACATTATTTTTTTTATTACATAGCAATGAACAATATTGGAAACTTGAATAAATAATAATTAATTGCAGAAACATGTGTTAATATGTTATGGAGTAGTCGAATTGCAGAAACATGTGTTAATATGTTAGTCACATATATACAGTCTTCCATTTGGCTGATTTGACCTTCAGGTGAAAATGAATTTGTCAAACCTGATATAGAACAATGCAAAAAATGTTCTCTATAGTACTGAACCAGAAAGACAAATAATAGCAGGTATTTGTTTATACCCGTTTTTAACTAAGACTCATCCAAAAGATGGAAATATCTTCTATAAAAACCTCAGCTTTAATAATGTATCTATTCCAAAGAACATAAAGAGTTCAATGTATTTTTAGTCAGATAGTAAAGGAAAGACAAAGTAGAACGTGGTGAGATTTTAATAAGTTGTTTTTAACATATGCATCGCCAGAGTAGAACTTTGACCGAGCTGTGCCATGACTACGACGTCGTTTTCACTCAGGCTTTCAGAGAATCATTAAATCTGCCTGAATTGTCGGTGTGAAAGTGGTATGAATAATGATTTTGATTGTGTTTTTGACTGAGCTAAAAGGGTTTCCTGGAGACCCCGGCTGAGGCTGCAGCTGATGTATAGGTGTTCTCGCCGTCTATATAACCACTATTCAATTTATATTAGGCTTTATTGAGCTGATGCATGGCTCCATTTTGTGTTTGAAAATTCCTGGGCCGTGTTTGAGTCGAGCTGGCAGAAACCATCAGCCGTATATGAGAAATATTATACTGAAATAATAGGACAAGAATGGAAAAGAAAGTGGGAAAGACAGGGACATAACAGACTGTGGTGGAGCCTTCAGAAGTGGACTGGGAGTCGACGTCAGCAGCAGCCTATAATCTACAGACACTGGGCCAAGATGGCTGTCAACTGGGAGAATTCACAATTGATTAATCACTGTTAATTAAGATACATTAACATTCCTGACCATGACAAACCATCACCTTCACACAGGTGTGGAGTTTGGTTCTTCCTGTGGCTCATGACTCGAAGAAGGTGTTGAGAGTTTGAGAGTTGCTTTTAAAAGTTTAGTTACGCTTGGATGACAGTGTCTGCTAAATGCATAAACGTGATGTAATGACATGTATTGTAATATGAATCAGTCTGCAGTCCCTCACATTCAGATGCCGGTCGCCATTATGTGATTTTTAAAATATTTATTTTAACTCACTGTGTCCATGGAATAAAATGTGTTAAAAATCTAATCTGATTAATTTTACAAATTTATTCACAAAAATCTAATCTGATTAATTTTACAAATGTATTGTCACAGTTGATGTACATGGATAGATAGATGGATGGATTTGAGATATAAAGAACTTTATGAATCCCCTCAGGAGTTTTCTTTGGGAAATTAAGGGAAAGTAAATGTATGTTCTTACATATTATCCGCCCCTTCTTAAGACAAAGAATAACATTAATCTTTATGACACGTACATTTGTCTTTATGAGTGACTGTTGCTGCACAAGGATTTCTTTTCTTCCAGCTCTAACACGAACAGCACTAAGATAAAACCGCTTTTACCGTTGACGACCTTCTGTGCTGCTACATTAGCGCTGCTGCCCCCTAGTTTTTTTTTTAAGTTTCCAATCTGAATGGTTATCCTTCCATTGTAAACCAGATTATGGCCTGTTATTTATTGAATGATGATGAAAAAAATCTTGAGAGGCATCTTCCATTGTAAACCAGATTATGGCCTGCTATTTATTGAATGATAGGCAAAAAAATCTTGAGAGGCATAGGAGAGAGAGAGAGAGAGAGAATATGTGAAAGAGGGGTTTCCTAAGAGGAAGAAAGTCAAGAGGTCACTGCTGACAGTGTGCCAGTCCTCCGACACTCTCCAGGGAAAGGCATACCAGTGGCACTTCTGCTGTGTTTGTCTCTAAGTGGCTCTAAAAGCCTCTAGGAGACACCACTCCCACTAATCTTAATGGTGGATCATCTCTCACGCGCACAGTTCAAGTGGCCCGGACACACACACTCACACACTCAGCCCGTTCACTCACAAAGTCTCTTTTTGTCTCTCTCTCTCTCTGAGGAGTTCTCTAAATGCCAGATGCCACATATTCTTCTCCACCTCAAGTGTGCAGCACAGTCTGTCCCGTCTCAGCCTGAGAGAACCTTTTTGCCTTTGGATCAACGTTCCGTCGTCTGAAAATTCACGTTCCATTAACATGAGGCCAAATTAAAGAGTTAAAGTTTTTTTTTTTTTACTGTATTGATGGACAGATTTTCTCTGTTCGACGAATGAACTGGGAGAGAAAAAGAACTCAGTGATAACCCCGTTTTTTTTGTGGGGGGGGGGCTGGGTATAGCAAAATGAATCCACGTTACTCTCCTACTTCAACTACAACATTTAGTTTATGGAAGTGATGCAAAAAGACCATGGACTAAACCTGTACAACTGTGATGCTAAACAAAATGTAGCCGATAACAAATGTTATACTTTGACATGTCAAGGTAAAAGTTGTGTTGTCTGCTACTTAAAGTGTACAAAACTATTTGAGAGTTATATCTTGGCTAGTGTTTGTGATGCAGTCAAAGCAATCGCCAACATTAGGAGGCGCTCAAGTGCAGTCAGGGACGTCTGCACTTTGAGTTATTTTCATTTGAATTTTACTTTTTATTACATTTTTTGAAATGTAATAAAAAGAATTGTCAAGTCAATTATTCCTACATCCAGGTCTCATGTAAAGCAAATTGATGACATTGGTTTTGATGCTTTGTATGTGTGTTCTGTATAACAGATATCAGGTGATATTTACTGACAGTGGATCATTAATACTGTGTTTGTGTGTGTGTTTGTGTGTGTGTGTGTGTGTTTGACACCAGAGTGAAGAAGAGCAGCACCACACTGCAGAGTTCCTGCCAGAGTTTGCCCTCTTCCCTCAGGGCAGTTTCATGGAAGATGCCGCAGAGGATCAATTTCTTACCTACAGATACGACGATCAGGTCAGTGAATCGCTGCCTTCTACTGTATCTCTAGCTCCCCCTGCAGGGCAGATTTGGGTGCTGATGCAAATGTTACCCTTTCGATGTTTTTCAGCGTCTGTTCATTGCTCCTGGTAGTGTTTTTTGGTTTTTCTGAAGTGAACAGTTAATGAATCAGGAAGTGCAGCGATTTAGTTAAGAAAAGTAAAAGGAGTTTTGAAGAGAATAAAAAGTGAGAATCGCTTTGTCTTCATCGGTGATTCTCAACCACTGCACCGCGGCCTGATAGTGTGCCATGGAATATTATCCAATTCAACCTAATTGGTCTGAAGATTTACTGCAAAACGTTGTATTTCTTTGTCTATGCAATGGTCAGGCACAATAAATTAAATAATCTTCCACTAGATGGCAGCAGACTGCCTCTAAAAATGAAAAAAGGCTGAGCTGGTGAACTAGGTCTTTTTCTCTTTCTTCAATTCCTGCGTCAGTGTTGTCTTCAACTAAACAGGCATCAGTGTCGTACTGACTAAGTTAATTGTTAATTCAAATTTGTTTTTGATAAGGAATATGTTTTTGGAATATTTTTGTTTATGTGCTCTACGTTTGGATTTTTCTAATGGAATTTGTGCTGTGGCTCAAAAAAGGTTTGAAAATTACAGGGTTTTTTTTAGTTAAAAAATTGTGAATGACTGGAACTAAAAGGAACTTTGTGTGTTCCCAGCTGTGAAAGACAAAGTTATATAAGTGGCAAAACTTAAATCTAAAGAATGGGGAAAAACATCTGAGAGCTAAAGTATGACAAAAATGTCCGAATATAAGTTGCAAAACTTAAATCTAAAGGGTTAGGGTTAACATTTTTAACCTTTTAAAACCCTTTTAATTACCACGAAAGATTCACAGCTGGGAATAATGAGTACAACTACAGACTACAGGAGTGAGAAAAATGTCTAAAGACTGGAGAAGGATGCAATCTTATTGAAGTGCTGATCAAAGTGACCGAGAGGAAGATGATTTAAGAACAGTTTCAGTTTTTTGGAATGTTCTGTTTTCTGTTGAAGTTATCTAAAATAACCAGAGCTAAGCGTCTTGAAAACGGTTGGTACTTGAGTAATTACCTATGAAATTATATAAAAGACGAAGACAAAGACGGCAGCTGCTGTGTGGCCGGAACAGAAACATCCACAGAAATTCCTGTGTCAGAGGGTTAAACTTGTGAGTTGCACTGATGTTTCATCATGAATTTTCCACAGATTTTCTCTCTCTCTTTTTCTTTTGTGAACAACATCTGTGTTCATTGTCAAACTCTGAACACAAATCAAACCAGACAAGCTGACAATTTAATTTGTTAAGTGATATGACTGTAGGAAAGTCTAACAATATAATTTAATATTTCAATCATCTGGTTTACACAGTGGAAGAGATAACATTCCGCAGTATTAGCATGTGGCAGCGTTAGCCTATGACGGCACTGATGATGTTCTGCTTTCCCAAAGTATGTCGTGTGTTTGAGGGTAACACGAACCCCTGAAACTCTTCTTTTCTAACTTTTATGTTTCTGTTTTTTGACTAATTTGGAGTATTATTAGTAGTATAGTATAGTATAAAAATCTTATTTGTTTAATCCTGGGTTTAAGGTTGAAGGTTGACGAAGCCATTAAATTTAGGTGGGGATTCAGTTCAGGGTGTGGAAACAGGGATTTCTTTCTTTTTTTTTTTAAAATCAATTAGAACACTGAGTCAGGCCGTTCATTCAAATGTAATTCAAAACAGGAAATGCTGAGCTGATGATGTAAAAAGTCCAGGCATTTGAGAAACAACTCACAACTATGAAGAGGTTAGATGATGATGTCGTCATGATGAGTCATTAGCATTCATGGTGATGTAATTCAATGTGATGTTATTTTTTTTTAATGTCGAAATGACTTTAAAATAAATGATAATTAGGAATTTTTTATTTAAATTATTTATTTATTTTTTAACAACAACGACAAAAAAATTAATGCTGGAATATATTTTCTTTATTATATATATGAGCCACAAAGTAAAAGTAAGGCAAGGCCTTTTTTTCGGCATCATTCCGTGTGAGTAGTTTATAAAATCACTTGGTCTATTATCACTGCGGCAAAAATCTTGAAGAAACACGCAGCTGAAAGTGATTCTTCACATCAGTTCTCATTACAAAGGAACTTGATGTTCTGTATATCTGGAACCAAAAGCTGAAAACTGTTTACCGACTCATAAAACAACTTTTCTTTGGCACAATCAAAATAAAAAACATCAGTAAAAACCTGCCATGTGTTTGGTGGTGGATGGTGAGACATCCAAGTCTGATTGCATCTTTGACAAACTGTGCTTAGAACTTTATAATCTGACTGAATTCCTCTGCGCTCATGTCAGAGGTCTGACCTCGGCTGTGGTCAGCAGCGTGTTGCAGGTTCGTCTTTGCTTCATTAAGGGCAGTTGTTTGCTTCAGTGTTTCAGTCTGGTGTTGAATACATGTGGTGTGTTACTCCGTCGGGTTTCTCTTCTCATCCCGATGTCCTCCGTATGAATTGATGTGAATCGACTCTTTCAAACATTCTAAGGCTCGTTTGTTTTTTTGGCTCCGCACCGTGTTTATAAGACACATTTTAGACTGAGCTCTGCCTTTTCTCTGGAATCTCCCAGAAAACATGTTGGGTTGATCCAGATGACGCCTGACTGAGGTGTGGCCACTTGTGACTGCGCTGTAACATAGCTGAGTTGGACACACAAGAAAGACACAAATGCACATTAATACTGTGTGATGTATGGTAAACACCTCAGGTCCAGGCCAAGGAAACGAACGCAGCTGCTCTGAATGTCACTGAAAAATGAAGTCTAACATGTGATGTGTATATTGTCAGCGAGATGTTTTCTTGAAAAATTGAAAACGTTGCGTTTGTTTTTCACAAGATTCTGATCCCTTTAAAAAGCGTAAACTAGTATTTTTTTAACTAAACAGGATCATCCAGTGCTTTCTTGCAGCCCCTTCTAATGGCTGTAGGAAGGATCCAGTGCTTTCTTGCAGCCCCTTCTAGGAAGGTTTTGCTGGTCTTACTGGAGGTCTAAATATTTCCACAGGTGGTATGTGGTGTAAAAAGATTGTGAAACTCAGTTTAGGCAGAGTGACTTGAGGTTGAATTTGTATTTTTCTCTTAAAGCCTATAGAGATGCAATGAAATATTTCCACAGGTGGTATGTGGTGTCAAAAGATTGTGAAACTCAGTTTTGGCAGAGTGACTTAAGGTTGAATTTGTACTTTTCTCTTAAAGCCTTTAGAGATGCAATTCTGACTTCTGTCCAGTAGGGGATAGCTCTAACTAAGTTCTTGATCAGATATTGATGTGAAAATAATATATTTAACACATATTTTGTCCTTTTTTCGTCACATGTATCTTTGTTGATATTTAGAAAATATACAGCACCTGTTTCATAAGATACTGCTGTTTAAACCCAGAGGCTGAGATTTCAGTTATTGTGAGGACTGATGTCATGTGACCAGCTGGTTCTCTAAACACTGTGGTTCTAAAAAGACACATCATCATCAAAAGCACAGAGTTAGTCTTCAGAGAAAAACAACGGGCATTGAAGGAGACTGAGCCAATAATTACAACCATTAAGTTCCCATGTTTTTTGTTGTTTTTTTTGTTGTTTTTTTACTGTTGTTTTTCATATTCATTCTGTTTGCTCCAGACATCAAAACTTCAGTCAGTCCTGTTGTTTTTCATATTCATTCTGTTTGTTTCTCTGCTCCTCTCCCTCTAATCTAAGTCAACCAGCCGTGCAGTGAGAGGCAGCAAACTCACACTAACACTCACCCACACCGAGCGAACAGCAGGGAACCAGGCTAATGCTGCTGCACAGGTCCGTCCAGAGAGTTTGGAAAGAGACAAGGAAAGTATAGTAGTTCCAAACCTGAATTCCATGGTTTTGGAGAAGGATTTGGATTCAAGGCTTTTAAGCAACTTATACTGTTCTTAAAAAAATACATTTTCCACAAAACCTTCTTATAAGTTTTTAACATTATTATTTCAAGTTGTTTCAAATAATATTTGATATGATCTATGAATGTAGCTGCCCAGATATTGTCCATTCATTTGATTTCCGTAGTCCTTGTAGTGGAATGGGTAAACGACCAGGTGGACAAGGATTTCTGTTAGCCTTCGCTATTGTGAATTTCAAGCTCAGTTGTTCAGGGCAACCTGTTTCTTTGTGGTTAAAGGAGTGACCTCATCACTGGACGTTTGTCAGTTTAAATCCCAACTCAAGCTGTTGAGCAAGCACAAAAAAAAAGAAGAAAAAAAGAAAATCTCTAGTTTCTTTTTTATTTATTGGTTAAATGCAGAAATGCATTGTTTATATATTTTTTCTCATTTTCTATCCTTCATTTTTTCATTCTTTCTCTACTTTTCATTTCTTATTTCTCATCTTCTTTTTTTCTTTCTTCCTTTTCATTTATTTTCTTTGCTTCTTTTTCTCCTTCTTTCTCATTTTTCTTTATCCCTTTTCTTCTTATTCATGTTTCTCCTTCACCTTCTGTTCAACAGTGAC